TTTTACTAATCATAAGAATGTCATTCGTGATTGTGGTATCGATCTGCTAATAAGTGATCAGGCATACGCAATCCCTTGGACTGAATTCCTTCTACGTAGCGACCGAATGAAGAGATCAATCTCTCCGTTCACTCTTAGTGGATCGGTCACGACTAATCAACTGGCATCACAACTCCAAGCTCTTGAATTAACCGTAACTCAATCTATGAGGATATCTTTCCGACAACACGTAATGCATATCTGCGAAATGATGAATAACATGGCTAGACAATTGCGAGTATTGNTTGCTCAAAACCCTACATTAGCGGCACGCGCTATTCTTAATGAAACGAACATTCATGCTAGACTTGCATCCACGATCTTAGAAGTCTGGCCTTGCCTTCCAGTAACGAACTTCTCTTTCATTTCTAAATCTGCCGTCGATAATGACACGTGTTATGAATTTCCGCCCATCGAAGTGAGGGTATCTTATCACTCCATTCAAGGATTCTTAGATCCAACTACAATGATCGTATCCCAATTCTCTAAAACAATTCCATGCAGCCTTTCACGCTATATTCCCGTTCAAATACTAGGTAATCTCTACCAAGTAGATCAATTGATTGGCACCACAGCGATGATACCTAAATCACAGATTTCATCAATTAGTAATAGTGCTTTCTCTCTTTTACAATCTCATCAAGCCTTACCCGATATCCCAACTACTATCTTCCATCATATGTTAATTAGTAATTTAACCGAAAGCTTCCCATCCGTTCATTTGATGGCGGCCGCGCACTATATGAGTATTGAACAAACAATTAACGAACACATGTCGCGAATAACGACGCATGGAGAGCAACATTCTGCCGCTCAAGGTTCCATACTTGAACAACTCAGAGTATTCACAATGTTTGAGTCACTATGGCATGTCTGGATATCTACAATCTCCTTCATAATTACAATTAAGTTAATCAGTAAAGCATTTCTGCGATTGATAGTTCCTAACCTTCTCAAAACTTGGCAAGTTTTGCGTTGTGAGCAACGTGAGCAGAGTGAGTCCGCTGGAACCAACATTGATATTGTTATACAAACTGCTGGAGCAGCGACAGAACTAACATCATCTACTTCACAAGACAAATGCTCCAATCAAACCTTCTGGCCACCGCGCATATCTATCCCTAACCCCATATCAGACATAGCTACTTTGGGCAATACGTTCAGTGCGCAAATTTGCGGGAAATTGAATCAAATATATTGCAGCTTCTTGATAGATACAGGATCAGCATTGACGCTAACCTCCTCTGATTGGATTGACACTCTCGGTGTATCAATGACCCCTGACGTGAGCGATGCGATAGGTGTCTCGGGGCATACATTAAATATTAAAGGCTTTGCCAAAGTAAACTTTACGATAGCCAACATTACAATTCAAGGTAATCTCTACTTCACTGATAATTCGTACATTCGCAAGACGTCATATGACGCTATAATAGGTTGTGACATTATGAGGCACTTTCCACCCTTCGCAATCGATATCAATAATGGATTACTTACGATAGGAGGAACACGCCTACGATTAGGTGACCCTCGAACAGTAAAACTACCCAATAGCCCTGTCCGACTGAGGAGTAATACGACGATACCTCCCAACACTGAAATGTTCGTAAACTGCATTATTGATGGTAACGTATCCCAGCGTACGGATGGATTCCTGATTGAGACCATTAATCCACGGTTATATGACTTGGCAATAACTCCTGGTATTATCAGACCCATCTCAGGGGACGTTCAAATACTCATTTCCAACCCAACTAATCAACCCATCAACTTATATAAGAATACCAGAATCACTTCAGCATCGGAGATCATGGAATCAGGGGGTACTATTCAACAAGTGGCATCAGTGATGTCGCCGTCAGAACGCTCGCACGACCAACCTACGCCGGATGACCCCTCGTTCAAGATTGATTTTACACAGTGTGAGGTTACCCCACCTCAGTGTGAACAACTTCGTTCGCTAGTGGCCAAATATCAAGACATTTTCAGTAAACATAAATATGACTTAGGTTCATGTTCGGCTGTGCCACATGATATTATTACAACAACAGAAAACCCCGTCTCTGCAAAGCCAACCAGGATACCCGCCAAATATCGGGACGAGTTGCAAACTCACATCAAACAATTATTAAAGACTGGAGTTATTAAAGAATCAAAAACCAACTGGGTTGCTAATTTAGTGCTAGTGCAGAAGAAAGATGGTGGATTAAGAGTATGCGTGGACTATAGAAAATTGAATGCTGTGACTGTGGCTGAAACTTATCCACTTCCAAGATTGGATACCATCCTTGAACAAATTGGTGGCTGTGAATACTACTCTTGTCTTGATCTCTGTCAAGGATACTTGCAAATTAAAGTGTCTGACAATATGAGCAATAAGCTTGGACTTATATTAGAAGACAAATGTTATCAATTTACTCACTTACCGTTCGGTCTTAAAAACGCTACCAGTATATTCTGCAGAACTATGGCGCATGTCTTCGCAGGCATGGATCATGGTGTTTGCTTCTATGTTGATGACCTTCTGATCTATACAGCATCTTCTGACTTTGGTGATCATTTGCGTATGCTAGAGAAAGTATTTCAACGGCTACGCCAGTTCAACCTGCGATTATCTCCAAAGAAGTGTAAGCTAGCTAGGAAGTCGGTGTCCTTCTTAGGCCACACGGTTCATAAGCACGGTTATTCGCCTGGTGCGGCAAATTTAGATATCATCCGGAATCTTAATCCTCCCAAATCATTAGCAGAAGCACGACGATTCTACGGGTTAGCTAGTTTTTACCGGCGGTTTATACCAGCCTTTGCCACAATGGCATCGCCAATTACTGAACTTACAAGGAAAAATCAACGATTTCACTGGGGACTTCAACAGCAAGAAGCGTTCGAGACTATCAAAGCACATCTACTTCGAGAACCCGTCTTAACGTTTCCCAACTACGACAAAGATTTCCACATATTTACAGATAGTTCGGCAGTAGCTATAGCGGGAGCGCTGATGCAGTTGGTTGATGGTTCAACTACTCAATATTCTGCTATTACGTATTGCAGCCGCACATTATCAGAGAGCGAAAGGAGATGGCCCATAATACAGTCTGAATTAGCAGCTATTGTATACTCCCTTCGATGCTTTCGTCCTTATATTTTCATGTCGAAATGCATAGTTCACTGTGACCACAAACCGTTGTCTTATGTCTTGAGCAAACCCTCCGCACACCCTAACCTGGCGAGATGGATCATTGAACTTCAAAACTATAATGTATCCATCCAATTTATTAAAGGAGAACAAAACCGAGTAGCAGATGCTCTATCTCGAGTCGATGAAGATAACTATACCCAATCACAGACAACTATTGAGCTGGAAGACATTGTAGAATTTCCTGTATGCTTGAACGTGGATAATGTACGATCAATCATGGCATTAACACCCAGCAATAAAATTGCAGTATTCAATAAGGCTGGCAGTAAGTATCTCATCGATATCGTTAAGGAACAGCGTGCGGACTCTCAACTACGACCTATTATACGATTTTTAACCGATGGAACGATCCCAAAGCTTGATGATATTAAGCAAATTGAGAAATTCGTTCATAACGCTAAGAAATATTCATTAGATGCTAACGGTTGCCTACGATTTCATCTTTCTAATGATAAGCACCGAACGAGACAAGAATATCCCTTAGTCATACCGGTTGCTATACGACCCATGATTTTTGATTACTTTCATTTATCCCCTTTAGCTGGAGGTCACCTCAACTTCAAGAAGGTATTTCGGAAGACACAGAACTACTATTGGGATACCAAATATTCAGACTTATATCGCTGGACTAAAAACTGTCCTACGTGTCAGATGCGACATGATCCTAAGATCCATCCTAAAGTTCCACTGAACCCTGTCACCAGTATGGCTATCATGAGTAACATCGGTTTAGATTTGTGTGGACCATTTAGGACTACTGCGAATGATAACAAATACATCCTAAATATAATTTGCCTATTTAGTAAATATGTCATAAGTGTACCCGTGCCGGATGCTCGAGCTACCACGTTAGCAAAGGCTCTATTACATAACTGTGTCTTAATTTATGGTTCGCCCCATCAGCTCACCACAGATAATGCCACGTCTTTTACGTCATCATTTTTCAGAGAATTCTGCAATCTTTTATATATTAACAAACGATACTCCACCCCTTACCACTCAGCTGGCAACGGTGCAGTAGAACGATCCTTTAGAACATTTCAGAACATGCTATCTAAATATATTTCACACGAAGTCAATGATTTCGATGAATTTCTTCCCTTCATGGCGTTTTGCTATAATACGTCAATGCACGAGATGACAGGAGAAAGCCCATTCTTTCTCATGTTCGGACGCGACCCTTGTTTTACAATAGAAAGTATGTTCAAACCCTCCATTCAAGACATCAACACCGATACGGATGTTGCGGAGTTTCGATCTAACCTGATCACATCTCTGCGAACAGCTTGGAATATCGCTTATGATTACAATAAAAAGGCGCAGGAAAGGATGAAATTAGCATATGACGCCCATGCTCAAGACACGCCGCTCAGAGTAGGAGATTGCGTTTTATTACGGCGCGATGTAGTGAAACCCGGTGATTCCAAAAAATTTCATCTTCCATGGACTGGAGTCTACCGAATAATTGACATAATAGTTCCTCATGCTCTTATTGTCAATTGCTCTACACCACATGCGAATCCGTTTAGGGTACATCTCAATCAAATCAAGAAATACCTTAATCTTGAGGGTCCTGCCCGTACCCTACCCGCCATAACTGAAGAGGAACATAACAACTTAAGAGATGCACATGCAGAGGAACAAATCAATCTCCCAGGCTACTCATATGAATCATCTCCAGTACCAGTAGGCCAACAGCCTCCATTACAACACAGGTATAATTTGAGACCTAGGTAATCTCGTGTTATAATTTTAGGCAGCAAAGATGCAACACCGCTCTGATCGATCGACTGTCGCACGCGGATCAGCTCCCCGACAGACGGCCAGCGGCACACGTCGCCCGGCGCAAGGCTCACGCCGCGAGAACTCGTCGGCAACACCCGCAAGCTCTAATGGCCTCACATGGCAGCCTCATTTCTCTTCTCCATCACAAAACTCTCCACGTCGTACTCGTAATACTGCTGGCTCATCCCAACAACCATCACACAATCTTGACTTCTCAGAACTCATCACTTTCAACGACCCAGTGGTCTACGTGGTGTCCCAAATTTTGCGTGCCCGCACTACTCTTCTACTCGCACCAGATCAAACGGATGACATTATGCGTACAGCACCTGCCATCCTCTCGATCAATCAAACTTCTCAATTTGTAGATGATCAAGGACACATCATTCAAACTGGATATCGCCGAGAGCAGATGTTCACTCTAGACCAGTACTTCGTTTACGCATATCGTCGAGTAATGAGAGGCACTGATTTACTTCCATGGCAAGCATACGGCTCGGCCCCTATCTCGAACCAACTTGTCAGCGAAAGAATCGTTTCTCATGCACTAGGCGTAACACTCCAACATTGTCCCACGTCACTCAAGGTGCAGCACACTATTTGCGCCATCAATCATACCTCTACTTCAACGTCAGCACGCAGACCCGCGCGAACACAGCTCTATTACATCGGTAGGTATGTTCCTAAACTTACCGCCGCTGCTGACCATCAGATTGATGAGAGCTTACTCAATACGCCACCAGATGGCACCCTCATTACTGCTATTCAAACAATTATACCTGTTGGATCCCAAGTAGCAAAAACATTTGTTCTTCCTCGTGGATACAGAACTGAACCACGACTTCGTCGCGTTACAGTTCCTGATTCCGAAGCCGCCCTTACAGTAGTACGACAACTGGACCCCGATGAACCTGCCCTCCACATTGATCCCTTTCAATCTAGCGGAGCAACTGCACTTGCCTCCATCCGACAAATAGCATTCCAATACGAAGACACCCTTCTTGCCGCAGCATTACTTACTCGACACCGACTCAAAATTGCTATGGAACGCACTGCATTCGAAGGTAGATCATATTCTCTCATTCCGAAAGGTATTCGCGTATTCCATTCGACCATAACTAATACCACTATTCTCGCTATGAGGATCAAATTCTGGGAAGAAGACACAAGAATACTCATTCTCCCCTACCCCGACCTGACAGCAGATCGACCCGGTGCGGAAACCGAGCAATATAAGGGCACTAGTGGTGTCATCCAATCAGTTAAGGTTGACGAATTCGGCAACATTGTCGCCGATATATACATCGCAGAAGAGGCCCTAACCGACTTATTCGATCGGGCGCCGTGGATATCCGAACATCGACAGCCTCTCTACATCCTCCCAGATGTTGCTAGGACTGGTCTTGAGTTCAGAATTGCCCAATTCCAAGCCCGTGACCTCTCCTATTCGGTCATTACCTCCGATCCTCATCCTAAGGATATCATCGTGAGAGCCTTACTGGGGGTGGGTGATCCTGTCAATTTGATAGAAGACGACAGTAGCCTCGGCACTACCACGTTGAACACACCTCAACAACATGTTCTTCGATGCCTCAATGGAAACACCACTATTTTATTTCAACAAGCACCCGCTGGTACCGGTAAGACGTTCGTTATTGCTGCTTATGTCAAAGAGCGGTTGCAAACATTACCTACATCTGGTGCCATGTTAGTTACTGCCACCACTAATGCTGCCGTCGCTAATTTAGCAGACGCCATCTTGACGCTTCAGCCTGACCTCTCGCGACATACGCTCTTATTTCTGCAGTCGCTAATGGCAGAGAAACGACACGCCGCCGGCCCCTCCACGAGAGATCAGTATCGGTTGCCGGAGATCCTTGACGATGCCGTGCAACAGAACCTCATTACGAATTCCACGGATCTCCACTTCGCTCAGCGGTACATTGCCCGTCGACTGAGCCATGATGGCCGCCCCGATCGTGAAGATAGGGCCTTAAAACTCGTATTATCTATTGGACAGTACAAGATTTTTGTTATGACCATTGCGATGGCGGAAAACCTTCATCGCGTATTATGGCCCTTCATTACGCACTGTATTATAGATGAAGCCGGTCTTGTGCCCGACGCTCAGTTATATAGCCTTGCCTCTTCCCTCCCCGAATTACAACAACTGTTTCTAACCGGCGATGCGCAGCAATTACCAGCCTACAAGGCCAACATCCTTGACAATATCGTTCCCTATGGCTTCCTGGGTGCAGTCCAAACGATCATGAGAAGACAAACTGTTCCCATTATTTCACTAGACCTGAGTTACCGCTCGCACCCGATTCTCACCCGCTGTCTCTCGAGTATGTCATATGAG